TATAAATTTCATTATTACGATGTAACATCAAACTTGATTATGAAACTGTCAGGTATTTTCAACGAGTCCTCTCTCGATAATTTTCCCTTTATAAAAAATGTACTTTGCTGATTAATGTATGTCTACACTCGAGTGCAAAAATAGAGCTATCGACCAACGAATTGTATCGGATTGCAGGAAACAAAGTAATAAATAACATCAAAAAGGTTTCCAATTAGATAACCGTACAAAGCTCAACAATGTCTGTTACATCCATCATCTCGATAATAAAAAAATGTCGGCTTGAATTCCACTCGATTCCAACAATGATCAAATTATTTGTCGAAAGAATAATGAATGGCATGGAGTGTCAATAAAGATGTAGAAAAATTAAAAATGATATAAATTAAACGCGTGTTTGTGCTGCAACGATCAGATTTCAACAGGATAATCCTATTTAATCTCGTTCGATCAAGAGTAAAGTTTCTTCTCTTTCGAAATCTTGAAAAGTTCAATTTCAATCAAAAAGTGTAAAAATCATCTGAGATAGAGAAAGAAATTTTTAATTTATTTTCATTACTTTTATTATTCAATCGTTAAATAAATGCTGACTTTATCTTTCGTAAAATTACTTTTGCACGTATATAAGTGATAACAAAGATAGAGCATACGTGTCTGATATCAGGTTCGAGATAATATTGAAGGACAGATTAGAAAGTTTAAAGAAAGTTGCAAGCGGATTGATGATGTGTGTAACGATGTTAATCCAGTTAACGCGATAAATATTTCGACGAAGAAACTAGCAATTAATTTAACTGCTAGTTTCTCTCTCTCTCTTTCATATCCGTTAAGACGTGACATAATCGGGCCGAGACAGAATGGAACTCGAAGGGAAGACAAATCAGCCAGAGCCTGTTACCAGTTAGAGCCCGGAGCGAGCCACCGGTCTGTCAGCCAAAATAAACAGAATGTCACGGATATAAATAAAGCTTTCACTCTCTTCGCTCTTCTTTTCGTTGGGCTGTCGTGCTTGACAGGGGTCCCTTGATCGGCGTGCATCCCGCCGGAAACGCTGCTAAAATCGTTCATCCATCGCTACGTCATTGACGAGAATAATTATAGGATGAGAAATAAGGTTTGGTCTCTATTCGACGGTTTTTCTCAATTGTCAGATTAGCCATAAAATATAGACGGATGATAGAAAGAAAGCTTCGCCTATAGAGAGTCTCGAACAAAACTTTTACAGAATAATCTGTTCGGGAAATTATGTCAAGTGAGCAGAAAAAAATTTTTATTTTTTATTTTTAATTTATTTTAAGTAAGAATATTGCTTAAGCATTATAACTGTTGGTTTATTAATTAATTTGAAAACTTCAGGGGGAGATCAACCTTAATATCCATCTTAGGTTAAATCTTTGAATGTCTAAAGCTTTACTTATGATTATTATCCACTTCGAGAGTAAATACGATTAAAATCTTGACATAAAGTAAAGAGACATTTACATACCCGTGTACACAAATTAATTTTATAAATAATGTAAATTACTAAAGCACTCTTAGTAATAGCTGTTATTTAATATGTAATGTTTTTTTTTTTTCATGAAATGTTATTCATAAATTCATCACTGATGGACAAATATCCTTGTAATAAGTGTCTTAGTAATCCAACAATCCACAAAACAAACAATTCGTTAAAAGATAAGTTTCATATTCGACTAATCTCGCGTTTTATGCATGAGCTTGGAGTTGCTTTATCTAAATTTGGCCTACGTCAGACGCGGCGCAGAATTTACGAGATTCGCCTAATGACAAAGCGACTATGATACTCTGATACTGGATAACTCATGCCCTCTTTTTCTCTTCCTGTTTACTATTTTCCCGTTTTACTAGGATTTGCATGTAGCCACAATGGCACTATTCATGGCGGCCGCCGCGCGCACGTCCCGCATCCCATATAGAAAAATCCTTTTCCGTATTGCACGTGTACGCGGTTACGAATAGCCTGATCTCGGTTTTGATTACACCACGTCGTGTCTATTCATTTTTATATACAACGAATACTATGGATTCGTACTCTCTGTTTTGTTCATGCTATAAATAAAATGAGATTTCGCCATTTATCAGTCGTAATTGGGATAAGATACGCGATTGTGTGAGAAATGACTGTAATAATTACATCCTTCTGACTAATTATTTTAATAAGTAATTGAGAGAGTATCTCTTGCAAAAATGTGTCATTTAAATCTAGCCTGAAAAATGCGTTAATCCTTTGGCTATTATCGACATATAGTCATACATTTTTCATTTTTATCCTTACTCTGTATTGCATTTTTAAGTGCCATAGTATTCCGAATATTTTACACAGTTATATATTCTTCATCATGTCCATTTAATACTCACAATCGTTATATCTGTTTCAAATATTTAATTTACACAATGACACAGTATCAGTTATATTCTATATTTGAGAATTTTAATAAAAATGTAATTAATAGTTTAGATAGAAATTTTATGACTGATTACATATATAAATTTATATTAAATTATAATCTCTAATTATGGCACAGTCCTATTAAATAAAAATTAAATATGTCAGCAGTAAAAATATATTTATTTTAGATTATATATTTATTTTATATTTATTTTAAAGGTAATCTTTTTTTTCATTGTTGACTTATAAATCACTTTTTTTTTTTATCGAATTATCTTGCTATAAATAATTTTCACTGAAAGAAATGTAATTCTAATGAATTAATAACAAATTGAAATTGAATAAATAGAAAATCGATAAATTATTTTGGACAAAATTTTGCCATTGCTTTTATATCTCGCTTCTCGTTATTCAATAAAAACCTACGTCCTTATTTGATATATTTTAAAATATCTCTGCGAAAAGTCACTTTTTTTGATTGCTGACAAGTTTCAAAGATTGTTCATAAGGTCTTCTTTAACTTACCGACTTGGTTCTTTTTCACTTTCGCGATTCGGAATTATCTTTACTAACTCGATTGAAAAATTAAAGTTAGTTCAACTGCGAAGCTGTCGCGATTGAATGGTTAACCAACGAAGTAACTTCTATTTAATGCCTAACTGCTGGTAAACAGGATCGAGCGTCGGTCCATGTAACGCGGTTACTTGATCTAGGATCTTGTTCGCGCAACTGCGCAAGCTCGACCGTAACAAACAAAGTGTCAGAATCAGGTTTCGGTTAACGCTAAACGCGAGGTGTAAAGCCGCTTGAATCTTGGCGTGATTACAATTTGGCACGTCATTTGCACACAGCGCCGCCGCGACGCCCGAAACAGCGCTACAAAAACTACCCCCGTGCGAGCGTCCTCCCCCGAAGGTTCTTATACGGCTTAAACGAAATAAAAAAGGGAAAAGAGGGAAAAACGGGATGAGTGAAAAAAAAGCCGAAGCGAACGAAGGAGAAAGAGAACGAGAACGAGGAGGGAGGAGGGAAAGAAACAGAGAAAAAGAGGGAGAGGAAAGAGAAACAGCGAGTGGTCCAGTCGAGCGCAGCACGTGACGGGTGTCGTTAATATTTCATTAGCATTCGTTTTGCGTCGTTCCACCGACGTGCCCGGTTTTATATACGTTCTACGTTACACCCCCGTCCAGCCGGTAGTTGGATTTTTATTGCTAACGCGACGCAGTTATCCATAAAAAAATCGCGCGTTTTGCCGCGTCCGTTGACTCCCCTGCTGGTATTCGCGGTGCCATTTGATATGCTTTTCGATGTTTTCAAATTTTTACACGGTTCCCTCCTCGATCAGTACGCGATAGAAGAAATTAAAATATTTCAAAATGAAATGTTTCTGTTAAAAGAATCATTGTGATTTGGATTTAATTATTTAGAAAATTGATTATTTCTCCTTCCTATTTCTTAATAATTATTATGCTTTTCGTAAACATTAATAATATATGATATTAATAATATATGGCATGCATTGAATTTACTTTAAATATGAAATTTGAACGTAACGCGTGGAAAGAGAGATATCTGATGAATTTTATAACGCAATTGAATTCTAAGTGAAAAGCCATTGTTAACTTACTTACTAATTCTCACTTTTGTATCAGAATAAAATCTCTCCCGTCCTGAATATCTATACAAATCTAGAACAAAGTTTTCATAAAGTGTCTCTAATTTGCCATAATGTATTTACGAAACAATGCAACGGCGAACAAGTGGATTCGTCAATGAAAATATCAAAAATGTTTAAAGAAGATAAAAAGGAGAAAAATTCGCGCGCGAATTTTCATCCTGACATTCTCGATAAAATTCGTTCGTTTCTGCTAATTTTCCGATTCTTCTGACTGATTTTAATCCTTAGTAGCTTAACGTCCCTTCGTAGCTCGATTATGTCTTCTTTGACTGTACAATCTCCATAAACCCCTCAATTCGGTCAATTAATTAGCATTTAATGAACGCGCTTTGAGCTGCATTTTCCGGCGAGGTTGCGACGCGAAGAGAGTTAAGTTTACCTTCGCGATCGGTATTATTGTCTTCTCTCTTTCGCTTATTATACCGTCATGCCACTTTGCTCAGAATTCCTTTCTCAACCGTGCCAGAACTTCGAAATGATCGAACAACCATTAAAAGAGACGGTATGTTACTCGGCGCATCTTATTATACTAGTTTTATGAAAGGTTTCGTATTTCTTATTAAAACTATTATTAAATGCACCTGAAACGCACGGAAATTTGAGCTCATAAATCTTGGATCAAATTAAATATTTCTCATCGAAATTTGATAACATTTATCCTTTACGTGGTGAAAGTCGGTCTGTATTTTGTTTTCATAGACCGATTAATTGGAAAACAACGCAAGTTAGAATTACATCAATTTTTATCGCTCGCCATGTAGCAAAAATTCAAAATTGCTTGGTGAACGGAGCCACATTTCGCGTAGAATTTCTTTAAAAATGAATTCGATACCATTATTTTTATTGTTAATATCGAATGCAATGTCTTGCGAGATAGTGCTCCGTCCGAATATAATTAAAATTTTCACTCACCGTTCCGATTCTCGCTGTCAGCCGGTTTCATCTGGATCGGATGGCGCATCTGGAAATAAAAAGAGTCAACGATATAGTCTGAGTTTCTGCACTGGTCTGACCTTATCATCGGCGGTTCGAAAGCGTCGGGACGTAATAAAAGTGACATTTATTATTGATAAAACTGCTGATATCGTCGACGTTCGAGAGAGCGGGTTCGGATGTAAAGTTCGTTTCGCGCTTTTTGAAAAATGCAAGAACGGGAAGCTGTTTTCCACGGCTCGCAGTTCGTTCCCGTACTTACATAGAGGCGATTGCGCCCGATTTTATTCTAAGGATTCTTTCCTATTTCGCGTGAGCGAGACCGAAAATCAAGTGCGATATAAAGCCGGAATTTTCTATCTTACAGAACACCGTATTGTCGATATAAATATATATATATATATATATATATATATATATATATATATATATATGATGCGGCGTGATATTTCTGAATCTGCACCATGATATGAGAAAGAGATTCATTTTACGTCTATTGAATATTTAAACAGTACGGAATCGATTTTTCTTCCTTGCAACTTTTTGTTTTTCTTTGAAATATATTTTTTCAGCACAATTAAATATGCACAGATATTTAATCACAAATTGAGACTCCATCAAACTTATAAAATTTATCTGATTAATTAAATAAGATTAATTTTATTGCGTATTTTATATGAAGTTTATTTGTAAAGATTTTTATCTACTGATTATATAAACTAAATTATACTTTTTATATATACATTTATTAAAAAGATCTATCCTTTAGATAAAACAAATAATTAATTTATTAGTCAAAAGAATGGTCATAATTTTTTTACCTAATTTATATAAAGTTAGATCGAATGATATTTATTGTAGAGAGTATCTTTTCTCAGGAATATTTTTATTCGTTTCTAGTACTTTATTCAAACACACTTCAGTTTTACAATCAAAATCAATATCAAGTAGACTTTGCATTAATTTTGATTTGACTCTTGAATGAAAATATATCGGACGTTGGAAATTAAAGCGAGTATATAACGGACTTGAAAAGCATCCATTAAAATACCAATACCTACTTCTGGGATAGGACAAGTGTATTATTATCGCGATAATAGAGTGTTTATTATAACGATATCCGTGCTACATATATATCGAAAGATCGTTGAAACGCGCGATATCTCTTTGATAAACGATATTTATGAGTGGAATGCACGGAAAACGCGCCTGGTAAAGTAGCTGCATTGTATGATCAACCGCTTGTGTGAATATGGAAATTATTTCGGCGTATCTGCTCGTTCGAACGTGCGCAACGAGATTTTCTGCGCAATGAATCTATGACATCGGTCGCGTTTTCACGAACAAACACACGCGATCTTCATGAACAGATAAGAAGCGTATAGCCGGTGTAATGTGTATACGCGCCACATATGCGATTACCTATCGTTCGTTGCAATAAAATCGATTTACGCCAAATTTAATTGTGCGGATTTCGCTGCAAGATAAAATTTATTGCAACTGATGTTTTAGCAATTATGCGATTGAAACAGAGTACGCGCAAGTTGCAAGCGATTTTCGAGTAAATAAATGTTATCGTAGATAAACACGTGCGTGGGCTTTCATTTTTTTTCATTTTTTTTTTGTATAAAATACCCCCGTCAGATTATTTCAATAGCGCTTATAGGGATTTTCGATAAAAAATGCGGTCAGTTATTCTTTTTTTTAAATTGCGGTTCAATGTGATATGGTAGTATGGTACAATAATCGATTAAACTCAAGTGCTTTGTTTATAACGTTTCACATATTTATTGCATTCGTTCATCATTAATAGCATATTGATATAAATATGCATATTTCTTTCTTGCTTGCTCTCTCTCTCTCTCTCTCAAGTGATTCAAATTTTTTAAATATCCTTTGCTATGAATATCATATTTGCTTGGATACCACTTAATAATTTCAACTACTCTTACGAAGACTCATAAAAAATTAGTGAGGTGATTATTCTTTGCAAATAAAAATGGAATGGTATCGTAAAGTTACGTCCTTATAGTCAAGATGATGCATTATCGCGCCGTAACAAAATAAATGCACGCAGAGGAAAAAAGAAATAATGATAGAGAAGGGGAAAAGGATAACATTTATAGCCGCGTTGTGATGGAGCCTCCCTCCCGAGGAAAATGGTAGATCTGACATTTTCGTTTATTATGGTGATGGTTATTGCATGTCAGAGGAATAAGCCATCGGTTTTTATGACGTTGCAGTTATGCTCTACAGTCCATACTTTAGCGTGAACGACGAGCAAGCGGTCACGATCTGGGTTATTTTTAAACTCCTTATTTTTAATTTAATTGCTACGCTCGTTAAATTTAACGCTATTAACAAACTCTGATGATGAAGAGAAGATTCGATCGAAACATTCGAGAGATCTTTAACGACTCATAACGAATGAGTCACGGTATCTCTGGCGAAAAACGAACCTGGAAGAATTAAGAATTACAGGTCGTCGACACAATATCGTTAATTAACTAAACTCGAGCAATTACGTCATTATAATGTCTATTAATGCTTTGTGAAAAAATAACTAACGTAAAGTATTTTTCATAAATATTGAAATGAAAAATAAATAGTGTTTTATTATATATTTATTATAATACATTAGCCAGCTTATTCTAATAAAAAGCTAAAGATCTATACTAATATATTTATATCTAATGGGATGTCTGTAAAAGCGAGGATTTATAGATTCAGCTATAACATGTATGTTATTAAAGAGCTATAGTATTGTATCTATTAAATCATCAAGAAAATTATAAAGATTTAAAAAGGTAAGTTTTTTAAAATTTTAAAGAACATAAGACTTATAAAAAAAAAACTAAGAAAAATTATGTGGATTGGAATCAAGAAATGCAGAAATAAATAACGTATAAAACCAAAGGAAGCATTTTAATGCAATTAACTTCTAAAAAAAACTAAGAAAAATTATGTGGATTGGAATCAAGAAATGCAGAAATAAATAATTAAAGAAAGCATTTTAATGCAATTAAACTTCTTGGTAGAATAAACTGATAATGATATTTTTAAATAATTACACTCTTCATTTTCTATAATGATTAATATTTTAGAAACATTAATCATATCATTTTTTTAGTCATCCTTAGATGTTATGACGATGCGATTGTTCATATTTAATCGACAATCCTTGAATCTAATCCATTGGTCGCGCTTATAGTCATTTTTAGCAGCGAAAAGGTTAAGATATCCCCTCGAGAGCATCATGTTCAATAGCAATTCTAGCGGTCATTTGCTATTCATTCTCGAAACTAGGTTCCTCGCAATTGTACTCCTGGTTCTATCTTGCAGCCGTTTGCGACAGGAAGGATCATCCCGAGATTCAAATTCGATATCCATATCGAACGGTAGGATCGATATACCAAGCTAGGTATAATCGGACCACCAGCCACGATTGCGATCGAAGATTATGCGCATTGACTAACGACCCATATACCACAACGGTGATGCAATCTGGATGCGCCAGATTCGCCGTATAAAGCAGTAAGCCAGTATGCTTTCCCGATACGAGGTATATCGCAATACAATACAAAATTGTGTGCAATAGCTTCGATACTTTGAGTATTCCATATTCATTGAAAATGCCTTTTACTTTTGATAGCTACGATATCAAAATAATAATATTTATACGTATGATTTAAAAAATATTCATGTATACATGTGTGCGTGTATATGTGTGGGTGGGTAATTAATTAATTCTTTCTTTTTTTAAAATATATAATTTATATATTATATATATATAAATAACTTCTTTTGTTCTCTGCGACGAAAGATTTATTGGACTTTATATTATTTTATTTTATTTCAAATAATATAAAGTCAATTTAATGACAAATATGGATGAACAACCTACGAAATATAAGAATAAAATTGATGCATTATAATACATATAATCGGTTTTTTATTAAGTAAATTAATTAAAATATATAAAATATATAAATATATAAAATATATAAAATAAATAAAATTGTAAAATATTTCCAGTCATTCTTTCTTTTTTTATATTTATAATATGCGTATATTAATATAAGCTGAAAAAGAAATACGAAGGAAACTAAAAATATTATACAGAACAGATTTTTCATACAATCTTATACGTGCACGCACACACACATTTCAATCTTAAAATTATAAGTATTAATTTACTTTAGCTCAATTAAGTTTCGAAGCAATAAATTTCCGAAATTATCTGTAATATTGTTACTTTAACATAACTCTTTAATATTTTCTTTCAACATATATTTATCAAGCAAATTTTATATGATAAATTAATATAAAATATTCTATTACTGTGTCTATTAATATTAATTAAATAATTTTTACAATAATTTCCATATTTTCTCGTAATTATATAAAATAATTTAACACTCACCTCATTATGATGTGCAACAGTGGAATTGTAGTACACATAAGGTTGATCTGTAAAATACAAATATATCGAAGTCATATATATAAAGCAGTGTCCAAAATAAATATTTAAAAAAGATGATTATTGCACGCAAATAAATTTCTTATCCGTTTCAATTAAACAGATATTTAATAAAAAGTTACATAATTAAAGAAAAAAGAAAAATTTTTTTATATTAACTTTTACAAGATATGAGAACAATAAAGATTTAATTCTTACTAAATTATCTAAATAATCATAAATCTATTAAACAATGTTGAAATATCATATTTCTGTGAAAATATATAAAAAAAATTATTATAAATATTTTATTATATATTTTTAATACTTTAAAATAAAATATAGAATATTTATATGCACTTTATACAATAATGTAAATAGATTATTACGGAGATACACAAGCAATTAATTGTATAACACTAGCCAATAATAAATTAAATAAGTTATAAATTGCTCACCATGTTGCTCTATCTGATGCCATCAGGCTTCCTCTTTCTCTTTTATTCATCTTGTTCATTCTTGGCACTCATACGATAATCACACACGATTAATTAAGATCGCGTACGCAC